TTGTTTTTTTTCTTTTCTAAAGTATAACAATTTATTTTTTATAATTAGTTATTTATTGTTATTTTTTATTCTCTTTATTATTTATCTATGCTTTTTTATTATTAAATTAACTAAATTATTTAAATTCATTCAAGTTAATAACCTGAATTTTAAATTTTTCTTGTTTTAACGTTTCGTGAACATTTTTTTTTAATTTTAAAAAAACTTTGATTTGATATGCAATATGACATAAGTTATCATCTAGCTAGTTATTATCTAATTTAATACAGATCATAGGTATTACATTTAATTTAATGAGTTAACTTGATTATGTGTAATTTGATTCAAGTTAGATTTCACTTTAAATCATTTTTTATCATTGGTTTAGTCAAATTCAAGTAATACCACGCTGGATCAACTTCAATTTTTTTTTTAAAAAAAACTAAAATGTTCTTTTGGACAAAATGATTGAAATAACGATGTATTTTTTTTTTAAAAAAACTAAAATGTTATTTTGGACAAAATGATTGAAATAACGATGTATGGAAAGGATATCGTAAATGTACCAACTTGAGTGTGTTCAACTAGAACGAAGGTTGATGTTTGATTACAAAAGAAAAGGAATTACATACAAAGGAAAAAAATAATAACCGATTTAATTTTTGCAAGTTGTTTTAAAGGAGATAAAACAATCCATGCAAGTTTGTGCATTTTAGAAAAAATATAATTTAATATGAAAAATAAATAAGAAATAAATGATATTTAATCAAAAATTAAATTGAAAAATTGATAGACAGATCTTTATGCAAATATATGAACTTAAAACATGAGCTATATAATTAATTGTATTTAATAATTTTATTTCTTAAAAAAAAGTTTTATTATTAGTGTCTTTATTATCCTTTAATTATCATTTACGAAATTTGTTTTTATACTTTCTTAGAACGCTAACAAAAAAAAAAAGATACGCATAAAAAAGCAATTACAAAAATCAAAGAAGAAACATTAAGTAAAGCTACACAAACTAAATGCGTCCTGATATCAGAAAAAATATTGAAACGTTATTTGCAAACTAAGTAAGAAATATATTCTATTCTATTAAAAACATTATAATGATTTATTAAAAATAAAAAATAAATACTCAATAAAAAAATTAAATTAAAAATTAATATTGAAGGATAAAATTTTATAAAAAATATAAAAGTGTATATAAAAAAAATTAATGGACTAAAAAAAAGAAAAAAGCCTAGGCATTTATATACTAAATTATCGACTCGCACTCCTACAAGTCGGGTCAATAATCTAATACACTCATGTAAATACTAGATTATTGACTTGCACCATCTTATAGGCCGGGTCAAATTCTCATTTAATATATAAAAAAAATTCAAATATTGCTAATGTTTAAATTTTTTTATGGAAAAAAATTTAAACAATGTGAGGGTTAATCCAATGTAACTTTATAATTGATTTTTTAAAAAACATTATTCTTCAATATTTGATTAATTAAAAATGAGGTTTTATACTTTGTTTTGAATTATTTTCTATAAGGTTATCATAGTCTTATAACTTAAGTTGTGGATTTGACATGTTAACTCGGGTTGACTCAAGTCAGTTAAATATTTATTATCTTGATATTAAAAAAATATCTTCTTGGAATTTTTCATGAGTTAGTCTATGTATTTACAGGTTGTTCGGGTTAGAAGATCGAAATAATCCCTTAGAAAAAATTAAAATAAATTATAAAGTTTAATTCTTAATTAACATAATATTAAATGATAAAATTAAAAAAATAAAAATAATAACCCAAGTCAATCCATCAAATTCATGACCCGAATCGTGAGACAAGGATAATATCATGGAAAGAAAATGAAAAAAAAAACTACAAATTTAACGTACCAAACTTACAACTCTAGTCATTAGATTAAGATAACATCATAGAAATTAAATTAAAATATATTACGAAGTTCAATCAACCTTATCAACCTATTAAGCATTTTTCTTGAGTTATAAAATTGAGATAACCTAATAATAAAAAAATAAAAACAAATTACAAAGACTAATTCACAAGGAAGCATAATATTAAATTGTAAAATTAAAAATATTAATTAAAAAATAAAAACTAGGTTAACCCGTGACATGGGTCAAGACACTATGATAACTCAATAAAAAAGATTATATGTTGAAGGACCCATAACCCGAGTCATGAGGCTAAAATAATTTTTTAGAAGGATTTTTTTTGAAAAAAACTTGATTTAATTTGGTTAAAAAACCAAAACTTGCGCACCTAATGATGAGACTATAACATCATCATATAAAACAAACCAAGAGGGATTAAAAAGCTCAATTTTCAACCAATTAAAAAATAAATGATAACGTTGAAAAAAAATCAATTAAAAGATATAAAAAATAACTAGAGTCAACTTATGTTAATTTATTAAGTATTATTCCTAAGTTATGAGACTGAAATAACTTTATAAAAAGAAAAATTAAATAAATCATGAAGTCTAATTTTCATTTAATTTAATACTAAATGATGAAAGTAAAAAAATTTAATAAAAAAAATCATACAAGTTAATTCACTAAACTCATAATTTGTGTTACGAGAGTGAGACATAAAAATAAATGTGATATTAACTTATAAATTAAAAAAAACATTGATTGAATTTTTTTTTTTAAAAAAGAAAAAGCAAAGCACATGTGTAAATAGGTTTAAAATGGGGATTTTATTATAGATCACTAAACAGAAAACCCTACACATGTTTTAGTGTACTGTTATGGGAAGAAACTTAAATCAATTCAACCGTATTAACCCGTGATTAGTGCAACGAGGGAGAAATAACATTTTTAAAAATAAATATATTATTAAAAGATAAAATTAATGAAAAAAATTGATTAAAAAAAACGATGTACTTATACAGACAAGGCCAGAGTCGGGTTTTCACCGCAGTAAAAACCCGATGTCTTGGCGTATTGTATAAAGAATAAATAATGTATGATAGTATATTATTGCATGTGTCAGTATGTGTGCGTGGTGGGTATCGAGGACGTCATTTATATATATAAAAGCCGCAATGACGTCCTCGTTCTGATAATACACATGCGATCCAGGCCAATAATTTGTGAGGCTGATCCCTGGTCAATGCCGTGATGTTGTTGACGGAGAGGGATTCACGCCGTCCTGTTCTGGGTGGCCTGGTTTTCACACTAAAGTATTTCACACACATGCTTAATTAAAACTTAAAAGAAAAAAAATAAAAATATCAAGAACAAGAACTAACCCGCCCGCCCAGTTTTTAACCCTTTTAATTCAAGCCTTCACGGCAACCGAGGCCTCTTGGGTCCCCACACTGCAAGCCACGTTTTGGTAATCATATATATATATATATATATGTATGTATGTATTTATTTATTTATTCTCGAGTGAGTGAAAGAAATTTGCTGTTTTGCCCTCCACCGACTTGAATGTTGTTATTAAAATAAAAGGAGCACCACCCTCGAGATGACAAAATTAACTTAAATTATATTCCATTGAAAACTAATTAATTTTAGCTCAAGTATAGCTATTGCATTTTTATAATATTAGTAAGAAAAATGACAACCGCTAATGGCTATTCATTGGATACCATTCAAACTTATATTTATTTTCAAATAAAATTATAGTAATTATTTTTATATAATATTATCAGTATTTTTGTTTTTTTAAGTCTATGGTCATTGATACTCCACGAAGATAAAATTTATATTTTAATATATTTTTATTATAAAAATTTAAATAATTTTTTTATGATGATAACTTTTTTTTTTTTCCGTGGTTGCATCCAAATAATGAAATATGATTTTGAATGTTTTTTTTTTTTTTTTGCTTGCAGGCAGCTTTTCATATATAATATTTTATTTATTTTATCCTATATGTGCATTTATTTTTCAATTCATAATTAATTTTTTATAATAATAAAAAATAATTAATAATTTTTCATGTTAATTTTTAAAATTTTTTATTAAAAAATTGTTTTATGCTCAACACATACCAACAAGCAGATGGTGTTTGCATCATTCAGGTGACACGCTAGATATCACCTAATAACCAAACTTGATCTTTTGTTATCTCTTTACATAACTCACTATGTTTTTTTCACACAGTATGGTGTGTGATAACGTATGGTGATCATATTGTTACCAATATTTTTTTTATTTTTTTTATGCTAGATGAAGTATATGATTGTTCTTTTTATTTTTGATTTTTTAATTTAGTCTTTTTTCTTTTGATCTCTTATTTTATTTTTAGTTTTTTTATATAATTTTTTTTTCAATTTAATCCTTCAATTATTATTTTTTTAATTTTTTTCTCTGACTTTCTTGTTAGAGATTTTCTAGCTTTCAATTAAAATTTTTGTTATTTTATTTTGAATTTATTCTTTGGATTTGTTTTTTCTTTTATTAAAATTATTTTCCAATTCAATTTAACATTTAAATTGAAAATTTTTACCTGCTTTCTAATTAATTTTTTTTACTATTATTTTTTTAGATCTTTTATGTAATTATTTTTTTCATGGTTTCATCTTTAATATTTAATTTATTGGAGATTTTCTTTGTACAATCTTATTGTTCTATATTATTATTTTTTATTATAGTCTATTTTTTTTATAAATTTATCTTGATTTTATAATTTAAATAATAAATTATATATATATATATATATTTAAAAATTCATCAAAATAGTTTGGACACCCGGTAATTTTTTTAAAAATTCGTCAAAATAGTTTGGACACCCGGTAATTTTTTAGAAAAAAAGTTGACAGCTCATGACGAAGCTTAGCCTAGAATATATATATATTCTTTGTGAGATAAGAAGAATTTGCCTTTTTTTTTTCTTTTTAATTAGAAAGAAGAATGTACTAAAGTCATATATTATAAGAAGATAATAAATATTCTTGGTTGTTTCTTACTTAAGACTCCATTTTTCACAAAATTCCACTATCAAAGCATAGTGTTAGTGGTTAGTACAAGATGATCTCTCCCTTGCTGAATAACTGCTCAAGGCCCCACCCAACTCCTCTCTCTCTCTCTTTCTCTCTCTCTCTCTCTCTCTCTCTTCCCTTCTTTGCATGAACTTTGAATTCAAAGGATGAAAATCTTTCTTCTCATAATACATCATTCGTTCTCTGTAAATTTTTTAGGGTGGTTTTAAGATCTCAACTTAAAGAAGAAATGAAGCAAAAATTAAGCACTTAAAATTTGCACATGGAATACTGCTTGTCTTGGAGCCGTTTTGTCTTCTCCCTCTCAGTATTTGCCGACCATAGGAAGTATTTTTGAACTTTTTTTCTGTGAAAATAACCTTCGTTGAGTTCAATAAAGAAGAAAATTGTTTTGCGTGGACAGTATTGTAGCTCCAAGTGTCTCAGTTTTCTGGGCCAGTGAATACCCAGATCTTTTAATAGGCTCTTAAACCGATTCTATTGTGTTTTTTAGAGCTTGAAAAAGAAGAAAAAAGGAAGGGAAATAAGTGGGTTTGTGTTTTCCAAACACTCATGAGCGTCTCTTTCTGGGGCTTAAAAAGGAAGGGGAATAAGTATGTGTGTGTGTGTGTGTGTGTTTTCCAACCATTCATGAGCTTCTCTTTCTGAGGCTTGAAAAGGAAGGGAATTAAGTTGGGGTATGTTTTCCAACCATTCATGAGCTTTCTCTTTCTGGGCTTACTTTGTTAAGGCACTCTAGAATAATTAAGATACCATTTACAAGATTGAAAGTGGAAACCAAGAAAGATTCTACTTCCATTCATTGTCCCTTTCCTTATCAAAGTTTGTGTTTTGTTTCTTGTTTCATAAAAGGAGATAACTTAAGCACTACACTTGTCTAGTCAGTCTCCAAAGTAGTATGTTTTTCACTTCTGATAAAACGAGGAGTTGAACTACCTCTTGGTTGATTCTCCAAGCTTCATTACTAATCTCACAAGTTCCAACCTTGAGTTTCTAGTCTCTGTTGTTTTCTTGAGCAAACCTACTTTTGGTATTCAAGAATCTAGATTTTAAGCATGTGGTTCTTGAGATACTGAATAATATTCCATCGTCAAAGTTTCTGGTGTTTAGAAATGCAGAATAAAGTTTAAAGCAAGATTCTTGTTTTGTGACTGATCTGATAAAAGTGGTGAGTTTTTATCCTTTTGATCTTAAAATATGGCTACTAAGCTCCACAACCAAGAGAGACTACCAGGGAACCTCAAGAAACAGCTTGCTCTTGCTGTCAGGAGCATTCAGTGGAGCTACGCCATCTTCTGGTCCATTTCAGCAAGACAACCAGGGTACTAACCAATCCTTTCCATATCTCCTCAATTTTTGTTGTGTGTATCGGTGCTAATATTTTACTTTATTTTTAGATATTGTTTTTTTTTTAGCCAAAAAAATATATTTTAAGAATCTCGTGAAAGAAAATTTTCTGTGTTTTGTTTGTAGTATTTGTGAAAGTGGGTCAGCTAAGTTTGATCTTCTATTGTTGGAGTGAAATCTGGTTTTTGTGTAAAGAATTGTGCAAATGGTAATGATTTTGACATGTAATTGGCATTTTTAGCTTCATGAGTTGAACTTTAGGCTTAGCTTTAAAGGAATCGACCCCTTTCTAAAACCTTATTGTCCTCATTGTACAGAACATCTATCAAGATGGCTCTTGGTTCCTTTCTTTGAAGGTGTATTTACCTTTCCCCAACAAAAGAACATAGCATTTATGATAAGCATTTCTTTTTTTGCCCGCCCTGAGAGAAAGGGTAGTCTATTTGTTTGTGTGTTGATTATGGCCATGAGCACTGTGATCTTATATGAGCTGCTCATGCTCGTAGCTCGCATGCATTGTTTGTTCATGTTCTTATCACTGGTTAATGTGAATTTTGTAGAGTGTTGGAGTGGGGTGATGGGTACTACAACGGAGATATTAAAACAAGGAAGACAATTCAATCCATAGAGCTTGATGAAGATGAATTGGGTTTACAGAGAAGTGAGCAATTAAGAGAACTCTACGAGTCACTTTCAGTTGGTGAAGCCAGTCCACAAGCTAGAAGACCTTCAGCTGCATTATCTCCAGAAGATCTCACTGATACAGAGTGGTATTATTTGGTTTGCATGTCCTTCATATTCGACATTGGCCAAGGGTAACTTCATTTTCTTTACCATTTTTCTGAACCAGGCCTTTCAATTTACTCATTTTTAGAGTTCAAATGTCGTTAATTCTTCCGTTGAATTGTTCATAGCTTGCCAGGAACAACATTAGCAAATGGTCATCCTACTTGGCTATGCAATGCTCATTATGCAGATAGTAAAGTATTCAGTCGCTCTCTGCTAGCTAAGGTCAGGATTCTGTTTCCTTTCTGAGATCTTATTTAATTTCTGAATAAAAGTTGTGCATGTTAGACATACTCAAAATGATAAAAGAAACTAACCTTTTCTCCTTTTAATCCTTTTGTATCTTGTTCTATGATGGGAATTGTGGCGACATAAACCTCAGAGTGCATCAATTCAGGTACCAATTCTACCTATTTCCTAGTAGAATTCCAGTATATTATAGGCTCAGGCACACAACAATGCACTTTTTACTGAATGCATTACATCCTCTATGAAAGAATATTTTAGAACCAGCGTAAATGGATTATACCAAAATCTGAGCAAACTTTCCTGTTTAAACTTTCAGACCGTGGTTTGCTTTCCATTTATGAGAGGTGTGATTGAGCTGGGTGTGACTGAGCAGGTAAATACTTATGTCAGATCTCAATTTAGAGTATAATCAACTACAGATTTGTTGTCTGCACAACACTACATTTGCCAATTCAAGTCATGTTGCTTCATTGTAATTTGTTTTCTAAAGGTTTTGGAGGACCCAAGTCTCATTAATCACATAAAAACATCATTCTTGGAGATCCCGTACGCAGTAGCTGCCCAGAATTCTAGTGCAAGAAGTGACAAAGAGCTTGCATGTGCCACCTTCAATCGTGAAACACTTGACACCAAACCGATTCCAGTTATAGGATGTGGAGAAATAGACATAACTTCCCCTAACCGCAATTCAAATGATCAGTTGGCTGCAGATTCGATTATGGTTGAAGGGTTAAATGGAGGAGCTTCCCAAATGCAAAGTTTGCAGTTCATGGATGATGACCACAGTGTCCATCATTCCTTGAATTCTAGTGACTGCATATCTCAAACAATTGTAGATCCTGTGAAGGTTGTTCCTATTTTGAAGAATGTGAAGGTAAATAACCAGAATCATCTGGATGTTCAAGACTGCAATCACACGAAGCTGACTTCATTGGACCTTCGAAGCGAAGATTTTCATTATCAAAGTGTTCTCTCATGTCTCTTAAAGACCTCCAATCCATTGATTTTAGGACCCGATGTCCAGAATTGTTACCAGGAATCGAGCTTTGTCAGTTGGAAGAAAGCAGGATCGGTGCATGCTCACAAATTTAAAAGTGGAACTCGACAAAAAGTACTAAAGAAGATACTACTTGAAGTTCCTCGGATGCATGTTGATGGCTTGCTTGACTCCCCAGAATATAATAGCAATAAAGTTGTAGTAGGGAGGCCAGAGGCTGATGAAAATTGTGCAAGCCATGCATTATCTGAGAGGAAGCAAAGAGAAAAGCTGAATAACAGGTTTATGATTCTGAAATCAATTGTCCCTTCAATCAGCAAGGTAGTTAAGAATTAGTTCCCGAGCGTTAATTGGTCTTGAACAGGGAGCCGTAGGATAATTTTTTCATTGTTTGTGCAGGTTGATAAAGTATCTATACTAGATGAGACCATCGAATACCTTCAAGAGCTTGAAAGAAAGGTTGAAGAGTTGGGAGCTAACAGGGAGCTATTGGAGGTTCTTACCAAAAGAAAACCCCAAGATACTGCGGAGAGGACATCTGATAACTATGGCAGCAATAAGATAGGAAATGGAAAACATTCGTTGACAAATAAGAGGAAGGCTCCAGACATGGATGAAATGGAGCCAGATATCAACCATAATGTATCAAAAGATGGTTCAGCTGAAAGTATAACTGTCAGCGTGAATAGAGAGGATGTTCTAATCGAGATCAAGTGTCTTTGGAGGGAGGGAATATTGCTGGAGATAATGGATGTAGCTAGTCATCTCCATTTAGATTCTCATTCGGTTCAATCATCTACCATGGACGGGATCCTTTCTCTGACCATCAAATCAAAGGTATGAACTCAAGATTACATAATGGAAGTGACCATCTATTTATATCATCGAGGTTAACTTGTTGATTATTATTAAATATGATTCCTTAAGTAGTGTCGTAATGTTTATTACAGCACAAGGGATTGAATGCTGCATCCATTGGCACAATCAAACAAGCCCTTCGAAGAGTTGCTGGGAAATGTTGAAACTTATTCTCAAATCAATGACAGTATGGTTAGAATTCACTGCTTCAGCTGTAAAATTCCGTGTCGTGGAAGGCTTTGTAGATCACAGCTATAGAACATAGAATTTCCTCCACGTAGAGCAGTCTAATAAACAGAAAATGCTCTTGTTCTGGACATTTGTATTTTCTTCAATGGTTTAGCGTGGACTCTGCACTAGAATGAGTAGTTGACCAAATCTATTAAATTCCCAAAAGTTATTTTCAATCTACTTGGAAATTCCATTTGATAAAAACTTCCCCTTTTTGATTGTCAATTTTAGTGGAAATTAATTGATGCTAGCATGCAGTATGTGCATTCACCAATTACGGCTTGCCTAAAACCCGATACCAGTGTGTGAAAAGCTGGCCCGGTGATAGAATGAAGTTAAAATTTAAAACCAACACTATTTCGTCCACTGCACTGCTGATAAAGTGATAAGAAGGGATCCTATGTCAAAGCGGTGAGAGCACATGTAGAAGCTATCATATTTTATAGCAGAACATAGTAGTCCATCATTGGCTAAGAGAAAATTCAGATTGGTTACGTGGGCTGCTGCTCATGGCACTTGGCAGTCGACTTCGGAAGATAAATAGATGACTAGAAAAGGCATGCAGATAAATTCCATTAAAGTTGGATTGTTTTAGCGCGTGGGGGGTTGTGCACCTGCAAATTTAAAGGCCAAACTGTGTTTATCAAACATGAAGAAACAATGTATATTGTAGATGGTTAAGGTCAGAGCGAGTTTCTCCGTCACACACACACAGCAAATGTATACCACTTGCATGGTTGTTGAAGTCCGGACTGGTTTTTCCATTGGGGCGGGGGGGGCATGTATGACGTGTAAGATCAGCTAGCTTGGGTAGTTCAAGCCGGGACAAGTTTTTCCATTAAAAGAAAAAAGCGAGCATGTCAGACCAGCTAGCTTAGGAGACACGCCGAGAACATTGCTGTCAATCATTATAAGCAGCCAAGAAAATAAATTGTTCTCGCTTTAGTACGAGTTTTGAGTACTGTATGAAGATGTGACCAGTCTGCATCACAAAAGTTACTTGCCATCTTTTGACCCTCCAAGGCATGATAGCGCTGAGACTATCTGCCGAGCACTTGACCTTGGTGTCAATGTTAAAAATGATCACTACTGATCAACTTGCAATTGGCAAAGAGACTGGCCGCAGGCTTGGCGTGGCTACCAACATGTATCTCTCCTTGGTGATAGCAAAGATGAGTCAATTGCTTCCATTCCAGTTGACCGGTGAGCTCATTGAGAAAGCTAATGGATTTGCTAAAGTCTTCTGAAGAAATTTGAAATAATAGAGTCTATTTTATTTTAACAATCATATATCCTTACATATACAGAATACAAATTAAATAGAAAATATACTAACAACCACATCTTACTCCTGCAAGTTAGACATGACAATTTGTAACAACTAGTTCTTATCGTTATCTACAAATATGTTAATCCATAACACCTAATTTACGTAACAAATGCCAATAATAACGGGAACAATTGATCCAAGCTTCGACAATAAATAATGAAAGTGAGTAGAGGACAAGACCTTGATGAACACATAACAAGCCTGTCATGACTGTGGGGGTAATTGGTTTGGAGAAAATTTATTACTACACTTGTTAACTAATAAAATGATAATTAATTTTAATATATTTTATTTTTTCATGAAATACTATATTAATAGCATTACATATGATGACTTGATCGTCGTAAAAAAAAATGAGAATCCTAATTGAGTAAGAAAACTTTTAAATCAAATTAATTAATAAGCATTAGATATTGTTACGTGATGTTTAACTTTAACACTAAATTATTAAACATGTTTTTTGCTATATCAGTAAACAAGATCACTACCAACAAACATACAATAACTTAACTCGTGATTGACTTTGATCAATAGCATTTCTAGTCCAATCTTGATCATTATATCTAGTTATTTAAGTATGATCATTAATCATGACAATTTCACTTTTAATAAAACCTTTCAAATAGCATAAGATACACTTGATAATACTTAAATAAAAAACAATAAGCTCATACATGAGTTGACTAACAAAACTAACCATGTAAGTTATGTCAGACCGGGTAAATAATAAGGTCAATAAGCTTACCTACAAGATAATAGTAATGTTTTAAGGGATCAAAGAGGCTTACTGATTTTAAGTATCAATTTATTATCTAATGAGGTAGAATCAGCAAGTAAAAAATATACTTATGTTGGTTAAGGAACAACTTTTAATGAGACACTATCATTTTAATTTTAGAAAAGCACTTCAAGTTGCTAAGATCTTTAATAGGAAATTGATGTTGAAGTATGCACATGAGATAGAAAATGACCTCAATATTATTTTCTATAATAATAAGATCATGAACATATATAGAAACCATCAATGTCTCTTTAGGTCCAAGATGGACAAACAAAAAGTCAGCATTACTCCTCATAAAACTATTTTCATCAAGAACAACATAATTTAACATGCCAAGCAGATTGTTTCATTTCATAAATCAATTTGTGAAGTTAACACATCAAGGTAGGATCTTATCTTTGAGAATGACCAGATATCAATTTCATATAGACCTTTACATTAAAATCCCTATGAAAAAAAACATTCTTGATATCCATTTAACATATTAACCATCCATTATTTACAATAACCGATAATAAAACACATACAATTTTCATCCTACCAATAAGAGCAACAATTTCCTAATAATCCACTCCAAAAGTTTGTTAAGTTCTTGGACCACAAGATATATTTTGTATTTATCAATAGATTCATCAAAGTTAAATTTTATTTTATATACCCACTAGTTGCTAACAACTTGTTTTTTTTTGAGATGTTTGACAATACTTTAGGTTTGATTTTAAACAAGAGCTTGAAGCTTATCATTCATAACTCAATTTTTATACATCTACAGAATTAACTTTCTGAAAATTTCATGGCTCATGAGCACTTGAAATAGCAATGAGAAAGGCCATATAAGCAAAAAAGAGGTGATGACATGAAAGAGAAGTGAAGATAAGATGCCTGGCTATATAAGCAACAAAATTTTGCATTTTATTATTATTAAAAGAGCACGATTACGAGCCAGGTTCCTGTAAATGTGCGGGTTTTCATGTGCTAATAAAGTAATAAACGTTTATTTAAATACATGAATAAAATATATTATTGTTTTTAATGAAAAAATGATGTTTTTTAAACTTATATTTTAATTAAAATTAACAACGGAGGTATTTTATTTTGTTTTAATTATAGTATTTTTTTATAATAACAAGTATAAATGTTGATAAATGAAATCATAATAATTACCTCAATGAAAATATTTTTTTTCAATTAAAAAAACTTTAAAAAAGTCAAATTTTTTTGAGCTTCACCTTACTTATAAAATTAAAAAAATAAATGAATATTAAAATATAATAAGTTATTAGTTTGACGTGTTTTGAGTTTAAAAAATCAAAAGAGAACAAAATATCATATACTAGAATAAGTTCATCATTAAATTTGTACTCAACTTAATGAATTATGAGGAAATAAAAGTTTTTAGTGTGTGTTTAATATTATATTATAATTTTTTTAATTTAAAATATATTAAAATAATATATTTTTTATTTTTTAAAATTTATTTTTAATAATTTTATATTAAAATGATTATTATTATTATTATTATTATTTAGAGTATTATGATTGAAATTCCTGTTTTTAATGAAATTTTATAGGGAAGCACACCACTAAAAGCCAATTAATTGATAAACTCAATGTCAACATTATAGCTTTCTCGAATGATGTGTTAATCATTTTTTAAAAACCCTTAATTTTTTTAGTTTTAAAATATTATCTTTTTAGTATTTTTAAATTATTTTAATATATTAATATAAAAAAATAACTTTAAAAATAACTTTTACCTATACTCATAAACCCACGAGAAGACATGTATATCTCCGAGTGTCAAATCAAGTGCAATGATCTCATTGACGGCAACGTTCCTCGATGTTATAATGGCTCGTTCTTTAAAGCACATTTGATCAAGGACTTGAAGTTGCTATGTCGGGATAACCAGCCAAACAAAATGCTAAAATGCCTTTTCTCTCCCACAAATGCTATTTCTACATATTTTTTTAAAGAACCAAAATCAACAAAGTGGGACCATTAAAAAAATAGACCAATTAAATGTAAACATGTGGAAAAAAATAATATTAAACAATATTAAGAAATATTAAAACATTTATTTTTTTCACTTCAATATAAATGGCTCTTCAAATAGTTTTTTTTTTATTGAAATAGATATAATAAGATAAATTATATTTATACTATTCAAAATTCTATTTTATCAATTTAGTTTTTTAAAATATCGTTTTGGATTTAAAGATACTCTAGATCTCCGAGTGTCAAATCAAGTGCAATGATTATATCTCCGAGTGTCAAATCAAGTGCAATGATCTCATTGACGGCAACGTTCCCAAGAGCATCTCTAATGGAGAAGTCAAATGGATAGCCAAAAATAAAAAATCAATATTTTGGTTTTTCTATAGGGAAGCACACCACTAAAAGCCAATTAATTGATAAACTCAATGTCAACATTATAGCTTTCTCGAATGATGTGTTAATCATTTTTTAAAAACCCTTAATTTTTTTAGTTTTAAAATATTATCTTTTTAGTATTTTTAAATTATTTTAATATATTAATATAAAAAAATAACTTTAAAAATAACTTTTACCTATACTCATAAACCCACGAGAAGACATGTATATCTCCGAGTGTCAAATCAAGTGCAATGATCTCATTGACGGCAACGTTCCTCGATGTTATAATGGCTCGTTCTTTAAAGCACATTTGATCAAGGACTTGAAGTTGCTATGTCGGGATAAACAGCCGCGATAATTGCTAAAAAGTCGAACCATATCCAACGTATAGATCATGAGCATCTTAATAAAAGTATAATCACAATCATCTGATGCTGGTAAGTCACAGATCTTTCCGTGACCAATCAAAACAATCTATTCAGCGAATTTGCGAAGTTCATGCCTTTGGTCATTGCTGAGACCATTTAACGAAGTACGCATACTCTCTCTTGGAGTGTACAGACCCTATAATACTGCTAGAGTGATGAGTTGCTTAAAGAAGCGTGAATAATCTCTTCTTTGGTGCTGCTCATGACAGCTAACAGAATTTGTCAAAATGAA